CTTGTTAACTAGAAGTTCTGGTATGACGAACCCAGAGTCAGTTCGTACTTATGAGTTGTTGTTTTTTTTTTTCACTTAAAATATATTATTAATTGCTGAATCTTGTGCAAAGCTACTCGAGGGCTATCTGCGCCAGCCGCCTCTAATTTTGAAGGGATATACTAGAGGGAGAGCAGTTAGTAAACACCACCCTCTGCCAACGCTTGGACTAATCTTTGCTATCGTATAATGGTACTGAAGATGCATTAAAACACCCCCCTCCCCACAGCTGAAATGGTGAGCATGTTTGGCTCCGGGATTCGATCCCGCGACCCAGGTCTTGCGAGTCGAGCATCCTAGCTACCAGACCATCTAATGAAGAGTAGCTAACAAAATATTATGCATCAGATCATAAAAATGTGTTCAGATCTTGGATTTAGAATCGCTCAGCATTATTTATTTATGAATATCTTCTATTCAACCACATTTTCAAATCAAGCCATTATTTATGAATTATAATATTTTATTAATCATATATATATATGATTTTCTTCTTAAATCTGTAAAAATATTACATTTGATTGCTAATATTGTTTATGGAATTATATGCAGTTCATCTTCCACAATCCTTATCATGTAAAGGGTGTTCAATTAGGTTGCTTCGACAAGCCAAAGAATGGGGTAGCAACTATTTGTTCTGGAGCTGTGCTGATGTAGACATTGTTCCAGGTAAAAATCAAAGGACATTTTTATACCCAAGAATTTTTTTATTGTGTGTTTATGAGAAAAAGATCAATCAAACAACTGTATTATACAACACCTTGCAAAAGTATTCATCCACCTGCAAAGTTTCCAAATTTTGTTTTCGTCTGAGCTTGCAATCATGAAACTTTCAAATGGGACTTTATATTTAGAATCTACACAATCTACTCTAAACTGAGAAAGCTAAAAAATGCTGATATTATGTAAATAAGTTACATTTTCAAAGAAAAATAGAATATTCTCAATTGCATAAGTATTCAGCCCCTTTGCTATGGCAGTCCTAAATCAGTTCAGTTGCAAAATATTAGTTTGAAAGGTGAATAAGTTAGTGTAATGGTCTGTTGTGTGTGTGTGTCATCAAAGTGATTTAGCTTGACTTCAGAGTAAATGCATCTGTTCAAGCCACAACTCACATAGTGATACAACAAACCAACCATGAAGACCAAGGAGCTTTCCAAACAAGTCAGGGATAAAGTGGTAGAGAAGCACAAATTAAGAGAAGGTTACAAGAAAAGTTCCAAGTTGCTGATTATCCTCTTGAGTACGGTGAAGTCCATTATTAAGGTGTGGAATGTGCTTCAAACCACCCAATCACTACCCAGATCAGGGTGCCCTTTCAAACTAAGCAGCCAGGCATGCAAGAAACTGGTTAGGATGTCACTGTGAAGCCAACAGTGACTTTGAAAAATTTGCAAAGTTCCATGTCTGAGATGGGAGTCAGTGTTCATATATCAACAATATCCCAGTCCCTACACAAAGCTGGTCTGTATGGGTGAGTGACAAGAAAGAAGCCATTACTGGAAAAAGAATCATCTTAAATCATGGATGGAGTTTTTGACAAATCTTTTAAATGATACTGCAGACATGTGGCAGAAGGTTTTGTGGTCAAATGAGACACAAATTGAGCTTTTTGGTCTAAGTGTTACCTCTGGTATAAGCCCAACACAGCACATCACCCAGTCAACACCATCCCAACTGTCAAGCATGGTGGTGGCAGCATCATGTTACAGGGATGCTTTTCATCAGCAGGAACTGGGAAGCTTGTCAAGATTGAGGGGAAGATGGATGGTACAGATCATAAATATACATAATGAATAAAAAATATTTTTTGTATGGATCTTGCTTTCTCAATCAAATTATGCAACTCATTATACTATGATGACCTCACTAGAAAAAAGCAAATTCTCCATAGAAAGAACAAATTCATAATTTCTATTAAAAAATTTTGAAATCTATGTACCAGCAAAAGTTAAACTAATAGGCCTGTAATTTTTTTGTCCAGATGTTTTGTTTTTTTTTAATTTTGCGCAAAGCTACACAAGGGCTGTCTGTGTTAGCCGTCCCTAATTTAGCAGTGTAAGACTAGAGGGAAGGCAGCTAGTCATCACCACCCACTGCCAACTCTTGGGCTACTCTTTTACCAAGGAATAGTGGGATTGACTATCACATTATAATGCCCCCACAGCTAACGGCGAGCATGTTTTGCGGCACGGAGATTTGAACCACTGACCCTCAGATTGCGAGTCCAGCACTCTAACCACCTGGCCATGCCGGGCCTAATTGTTCAGATGTAAAGAAATTGTTAGGAATGGTTGTCAGCATTGTGCATGAAAATGAAGTAATTGAACTTAGCTGTATATCTAGGTTGGATCCTTTATTCAAAAATTGTTCTAGTAATTCTTCTACCAGTATTCAGTGATTTCAGAAATATAAGTTAAAGCTCCATTCTTTCCTTATTCATTCTTTTTGAAATTATTTGAATTAACCTGTTTCGAACAAGAAACTTTACTCAGAATAAATTTCCCAGTTTTTTCAAAAACATTTTTTTGCTGAAAAATTAGAAAAAAATGACTTAAAATCTAGAGTATCCACTTTCAGTTGTATTCTTTAGTAAAAATAACATAGCAATAGTTTCTCACACTTGAATCACTTTCTTTCCTTCCATAGCAAAGCCCTCATCTCTTTTTTTTTAGATCTAATATTATCCACAAGACACTATTTTCAATTCATTTAAGCATAAATTTGTCAAGTTTGAAGTTTTGAGCTGAAACCAATATAATAAACTCTGTTTTTCTGTAAAATAGTTTTTCTTTTCATTTATTTTGATAGAGTTCAGTATTGACCATTTAATTAGTAAGGTTTGTGTACTTGTAAGATTTCTCTTGTTTACTTCTAAATTTCTGTACAATGAAGGCAATGAAATAGTACAGATAAAAGTCGAAAGCTAATGAAAGTTATACAAAGTGTTAAAGTATTTGTAAGATTGTATGTTCTTTGTGTAATAATGTCAAATAGTACCAATATCAAAGAAAACGTGATCTGTGGTATTAAATACCTGATGTTTGTTCCAGAGGTTTTTAAACCTGTTTTTAATATTTTATCATAATGAGCATTTGTTTTAAAACAGCTGTCAAATAAACTTTTATCTTGCAGAAGAAACTGTAAAAAAATAGTCATCAATAGAATGTCTGATTCCTCCTAACTGTTAGCATTTTACATGATTAAGTTTTGGTGTGTTGATAAATATGACATGTTTTGTGCATGTGTGTGTGTATTTTAGAGTTATAGTTTCTTTTGCACACAAACCAAATTTCTGTTTTTTTGAAATGATGGCCTTAATTTTGGCCTTTTATCCCAAAGATCAGTAGGATTCTTTCCCATCCCCAAGGGAAGAGACTTGTGATATTTGATTAAAATCTAATGTTTAGAACTCTAGTTATCATATAGAAAGTAGATGTCTCTAAGTGGCTATATGGAAAATGTCATCATTGTATTACCCCAAACCCCTTTGGTTGGAAGGGAAAAAAAATTATGGAATATGCACACACTCAGACTCATATGTATATATTGCTGATGTTGATATAAAATTGAAGTTGGATTTGGTCAGAGTATTGAGTGTTTCCATTGTTTACAGTGAGAAACTCCAACCAGATTATATTCACATTGATATTGTTACGACATCGAGGTCACGTGACTAGTATCACGCCACGTCATTCTCGAACTTTCACGTCTTTTCCTTAAATCTCGTGATCTTTCTAGATATAGTGTAGTCTTGTATATATATAAGACCGGCCACGAAGCGACAGAGAGGTAGTGAGTAATTCAACTGAGTATTGTCGAGCACGTGAGACGTTCTATTCTTGGGAGGTTACTAGATATGCAGTATTCTTGTATATATAAGACCGGTAAGAACTGACGGGAACAAAGTGTGTAATTGACAGTTGAGTCGAGCAAGTGAGACGTTTGTTGTGAATTATAGCGTTTGTTATAGCGTGACTGTTGAAATTAAGTGTATCGGTAAAGTTGTATTCGGAAAGAATAAACCAGTTTTATTTAAGAAAGGACTTGTGTCGCTTAAGTTTAGTCGGAAAGAATTTGCGGAAAATTAACTAACGAACGGAGACGTAACAATATGATACCAGATCATATTAGTATGAGTTAAATAAATACTCTTTCATCAGAATTATTAATTTGTATTTTGTCATATTTATACCTGATAGTTCATTCTGATATAAATACTTCTTGTGTTTCACTTCAATTCATGTGTTTGTTTCTCTAATGATGTATCTTCAGTATGCCGTAGATATTACACATAACTATCAGAAATATTTCTAAAACCTATCTCGTAAAATTCATCTTTTTTTTTTTTTTCAGTGACAGAGTTCAATACAGTTTGTTCTGGATGGGGGAAACTTGTAAATGGTCTCTGTGCATGCAATAGACTAAATTCTGGCAATGTATGTCAGTATCATGGTAAGTTAATGTTAATAACCATGTTGCTTTCTTTCATGATCAAGTATCTGTATTATTCACATTCTAAAACTTAGTTTTTACTTTGATTACAGTGTAATATAAAATATTATCCTGGTATTTATTATTCATTTATGAGCAAATTTTATGAGCTTTAACCAAATGGCTGCTCTCCTGTGTGTAATAGATGAGTGCTGGTCTGATGAGGACTGTGGCTCTCATGGAAAGTGCATCAATGTGGAGGCAACTACCTATCCCAAGATGCAGTGTTTCTGTCAGACTGGTTGGTTTGGAGAGAAGTGTAGTAAAGGTGAACAACTTGTCATATCTCCACACGTTTATATATATTATTTTAACCTTGTACTTTGGATATAAACATTAGTTGTAGTAGATGATTCCAATTTCTATACAATATATGACAGTTTATTTACTAAAGTATTTAGAGATCAAATAATTTGGCAGTCAAAGTGGGGTGTAGAAAAATAATATGAGGATTTTAACTTAGTTTAGGATAGTTTAAAGGGCAGTGTGGCTCAGAAGCTTTGTACTTTGGACTCATAGTTTGATGATTGTGAGTTCAAGGCTGGCCTTATTATGCTGTTGTATCTGTGAGGAAGACATTTTACTCCACTTGTTCCAGTCTACCCAGACAGACTGGCATCCGATCTAGGTAGAATGAGTCACCATTCTCATCCACTTGAAACCAGAGTTCAAAAGCATTGGCCCTATGAACCTTACAAAGGCACAGCAAGGATTCAAATAACTTTAACTTAGGGTGGTTTTCTTAAAGAGCTCTAAAATGGTTCAGCAGTAAGTCTGATCACTTGTAACATTAAAAACTGGGTTTCAATACCCATGGTGGGCACAGCACAGATAGCCCATCATGTAGCTTTATGCTTAATAACAAAGAAATAAGTACTACAGAGATATCAAAATGTTCAATATTGATTGATTTATGTATGAAATTCAATAAATCATATTTCATTATTTTTGGAGACCAAAGAGTTTTTAGTATTAATTTTTATCTATATGAGGAAAATTCCTTAAATTTAGTCATTACATAATTGTGCATAAAAACTCTTAATGCACATTATAAGTTATGTGAATGTCATTACATTTTTTTATTATTGTTTCCTTGTTTGATTTTTGACTGATTTAATATTTTTAGTTTTTTGCACAACAACATATGTGAATAACTAAGGCCCTAAATTTTTTGTTATAATTGTAACTACAACTGGGCACTGGTGTCATTGAATTCAAAGAACCAAAAGTGGACTTATTTTAGAGTATATTTTGTTTATTTTTAGAGTCTTCTGTTAAGACAGCAACTTTGGACCTGGCACAGTATAACAGTAAGGTTTTATCTGAAAAATACACTTTGTACTGGAGGATTCTTCAGGTAACCAAATTCTGACTGGATTGAAAATGATATGCCAATTTTTTGTTTTTATATAAATGTGTAGCACTCTTGGAATAAGAATTTAACTGCTCAGGCTGCTAACTTTTCCACCACTGAAGCCAGTGAAGGTTGAGGTTACAACTTTGTTGACATAATTTATCTTTGTAAGATACTGGTGAACTGGAAAGCTGAGTTTAACATCTAACATCATTTATTAGAGTAAAAAAACAAGTTGACTTTTATGAGCTTTCTAGTTTGAAGCAAATTATGATGTTTTTCAAATATTTTGTAATTTTTGTGAGTTTTAGATGATTTTCTGAAATTCATTTAGGCTACCAATAGTCAGGCATAATGTTCAGATAAGTTACATACAACCAATGTTATTGAATTAATGTCACATGTAACTGCTCTTAATGATTATCTAAAAAAGTATGCTTTCAAAAAGATACTAGTAACCATAAGAATTATTTCAAATCTGTATTTGTGAAACAGTATTACTAATACATTATGATTGTAAAGTACTTTAATTTAAGGTGATATGTATAATTATCATTGTTTGATATGGGTAGTAAATAACTTCATCTGGGATTAAAGGGATATTAGAAAAGGTCATTCATTTATGAAACAAAAGTAAGTTATTAAAAATCTGCTAAGAAGGTGAAATGTTTCTAAAAACATCTAAAATTGACTCACATACTGCTATATGATAGATTTATGACAAATATTTTGACATTCTATCCACTCTTTTCAGGAAACAGAAGAAATAGAAGCTGTGTTGCAAGCAGAAAGCACAAGCTATTTAGCTGTTGGTTGGAAGCCACAAGGAATAACATCCAAATGCAAGGCATTCCCATTAGTAAAAGAGAGCAGACAAAGCAACTTACGATATCTTCAAAGTGATGATTCTCCAACCCAGCAGCATGAAAATCACAACTTTAAATCTAAAGATGCAGAAAGTAACTTGAAACTTGATTCTGAAGGAGAATCAAATGCTGAAGGGAATCCAGAACCAAACGTTGAAGGGGAACCAGAACCAGAGCCATCTAATGAAGGAGAACCAGAACCATCTGCTGAAGGAGAACCAGAACCTAGTACTATAGAAGAACCAAGGCCATCTGCTGAAGGAGAACCAGAACCTAGTACTACAGGAGAACCAGAACCATCTGCTGAAGGAGAACCAGAACCTAGTACTATAGGAGAACCAGAACCATCTGCTGAAGGAGAACCAGAACCTAGTACTATAGGAGAACCAGAACCCAGTACTACAGGAGAACCAGAGCCACCTGCTAAAGGGGAACCAGAACCTAGTACTATTGGAGAACCAGAGCCATCTGCTGAAGGGGAACCAAAACCAGAGCCAAGTAATAAAGAAACGTCAGAACCTACTACAGAAAGAAAGTCAGAATCTAAAGCTTCAGAAGAGTCAACACAAAATCCTAAAGTTGAGCCAAAGATAAATGTTAAAGAAGATTCTGAATCTGGAGTTCCAGAACCACCTTCTAAAGTAGAGCCAGAATTTAGTACCAAAAGAATGCCAGGAACATCTAAACTAGTTCCTGATAGTACACTTGAACCTACTGCTAATGGAACATCTGAATCTGATTTTGAAAATGAAAAAACAAGTAACACTGAAAAAAAGATTGTTTATATAACACCTAGTTCCACTCTCAAAAATGAACAAAGCAGTAACAGTGCAATTGTTGGAGTTCCACTGGGTGTTGGGCCAAGTGATGGTTTGGAAAGAAAACTTTTTGTCTACAATAATCGCTTCCGACGACAGGCTGTACTACATGAGCCTTCAGCTTCAGGAAGCAAACCAGAACCAATCAGTGACTCACATCCAAAACCTGAAGATGAAACAAATACACAACATGATGCTCATTTAGAAGCTGAACCTAGAGGCTCTGGAGAACCAGAACCTGGTTCTACAACAACTTCTAATTCCAAAGGAAAACTGCCACATCCATATCCATCATCGACAACTTACACACCTCGATTTGATTTTCACCCCATGGACTGTTCAGACATGGTGATAGGTGCTGCGAGAGGAAAACTCAGCCGTGTGTTTGACTACTATACTCGTGACCGATCCACACCACGTGTAGATAGTTATTATGGAGGATCTGACACACTTACAGCAGCAGTGGGATTTGAAGAAGATGGGAAAACAACAATACTGTTTCGGAAGAAAATTAAAGGTAAGGCAAAAATCAAACAAACTGTATAGTGATAAATGTAGTTATTGCATAATAATCAGAGGTTTATGTAGTAAATTGAATAAGAGACTGGATAATTTTTTAAAACATATACAATAATACTCAGCATCAGAAATTTAAACTAATAAGATATTCATCACTGAAACTCAGAACAAGAATTATAATAAAATTTTTCTGGCTAAAACTTATCCTTTTGAAGACATTAAAGTCTAGTTTATTTAGTATTTATAATATTCTACCATCTATGTGTTTTAAGTAAAAAGAAGCAGAAAACAAGTGTCCTGAACCTAATATCCTGAGTTATAGCAACAGTATTTGGCAAGAATTAGTGTCCCCATTACACATAAAACGGTAACATATTTAAAATATTTTAGTTTTGGAAATACTTTTGTATTGATATAGCATGCAAATTTGGAATCATCTATGTTGTGCAGTACTGGTGAATGTACCTAATTAATCTTATATTTTTACCTGCATTAATTAACATTAGTAGACTGTCATCTTATCAGACAGTTTTTGTACACATAAAGCATGTGGTAAGTATAATTATCTCAAAAATAATCTCTTCAAGATATTTGTAATCAATTAGGTTTAAGTTTCTGTGCATATTTAGTGTATTTGCTGTATGGTTTATTTTGTATGCATACAAGTTAGCCATGTTGGTGAATACTTATAGCTATCAGCTATCACATTTATATGTAGTGTTTCAAGTAAAAAATCCTGATGCTTGACATATATAGTATTTGAAGTAAAAATATTTGATGCTACATATAATATGGGGTGTTTAAAATAAAACATTCTGATACATCACATTGTTGGATACACAAGACTGTTCAGTTTTAGAGTTATTATTTAGTTTTCAAACCAAGAGTGTCAAAAGTTAATTATTTTAAAAGTAATAGTTATGACAAGTTTTGTTATGTAACTCTATACAAGTTGTACATTGTGTATGTAATTTAAATGTTGTTGGCTTTTGTAATATTGTTGATGTCATCTTACTCAAAGTTTTCCTCACTATATTAATATTGTTGTTACTAGAGGGCTATGTATTTCTAGATTTTTCAGTCGTGTGTTATAAACACGTGCAGGTAGAAGCAACTTAAGTAAGTGAAAGTAAAAGAAAAAGTGAAGCTAGCCTGCATGTGAGTTTAGCTGTAATGAGCAATTTCTCAAATGAGTTTCACAGTTTGTATTTTAATAACAGAGATATAGCAGAATAATTCATTTTGTCAATTGGGTTTTAAAGTAATTGAACTAGACTGTGTGGACTTTTAACAAAAATAGTCCTAGATTCAACTGTGGTAACCAATAGTGTAGCAAATATTTTTGTACATATGTTTATCTGGTTTTGAATATACTATTTTAAGACAAGTGGATTGTGTGCTATCCATTTATTGTTGAAATTTATTGCCAACAAGTCACAAACACATACTCTAAAAAATCATGCCCCTATAGAAAACCCGACATGTATTATATATAGTGGTTCAAGTAAAAGTTTCTGATGTTTCATATATTATATACAATTTCAAGTGAAAGAATCTGATGCATCACATTATATACAGTTTCAAATGAAAGATTCTGATGTGTCATATATTATATATATAGTGTTTCAAGTAAATATTCTGATACATAATTGTGTTATCCAATTTGTTTTCTGAAGCGATCTGAAACAAATTAAATAATAATATTTTGCAGTCCAATAATGTAATTATCTTACCCCTTTTTCAGTAACCTACAAAGTGCATTTGGGTAGTCCTTCTAAAATCTTAATTTAATCAAATATATTTCTTAATCGATTCTTAACCTAGTTCACTCTGTTATTCCAATTCTATTCAATTACCATTTTCAGCTCATTCAAGTTGCAGTTCTTATCATTTTTGATAACTGAAAACTAAATATGGAGGAAAAATATTACATTGATTGTATATTTCTATATAATATGTAGCTGAAGAGTTTACCGACCACACCATAGAAAATGCTCCAATGGACATTATTTGGGCACTTGGTCAAGAGTCAGGACACTACATTCATCGACCTAGTACAGGCCTGGAAAGTGGTAATGCTAAGGTTCCAGATTTTTATAAACCTGATGAAGTCAAGTATCATGGGCATGGTCACCAGAGAGGGAAAACCACCTTGAACTTCTATGGCAAGTAAAAAATACCTTTTTTATATTATTAAAACATAGGTTCAACTGCATCAACTAATATATTTTTCTTAAACAAGACCTTTTTGTCTACAAATTTTAGATTTGTATCTTTCAATATTTAATTTTCTAATTTCACAGACAAAAAATTTACCGGTTTTTAAATTCAAATCAAATATTTGTTCAGACCATCTATTGGGACAAAAAGGCACTTTTACACAAAATTGCTAAATAACTAAATTATTTCTAAAAGACACATTTTTGTGATTAATACACTTTTATCACGTTTTTTTTTTTTACATAAATGTGCTTTATAAATTACCACTGATTACTTAATAAGATAAAATCTTGTTCATATTGAAATCTGTTTCTTTCTCTTGTCCTTTTATTGAAGTGCTTTAATAGATAAACTGCAATTAGTAAGACTTCTTACAAATATTTTAAATGTATACTGCTTTTCATTTTTAAGTTCCAAAAAATAAGTGTGGATAAATAGTATTTATAAACTATAATTTTGCTCTTGTATTAATTAAAACTACTAATAACTACTATTAACTCTAGCCTTCTGTGTTCTGAACTTAATGAGGCAGATTGAAACTAACAGTTAGGGTAACAAACCTTTTACATTATTTTTTCTCTATACCTTTGGAAAAAAAAGTTTTTTTTTTAAATGTCTGCTTATACTTTAAACGTATTTAGTTTAAAGCATGCAAAAACAAATTTCCTTGAAGTTTACTCATAAGTTACATGTATATGTAACTGTAAAATGGTTCAAAACTTCTGAGTTTTCAAATTCAAATACAGTTAATTATAGCTTATCTATACTCTTAGAGTTTCCTGAGAGTGTGGGAATTTTTTTTGTAAATAATCTTGTAGACAATATAATGATAACTATTTCACATCCTGATGTGTAATAATGAACCACTGGAGAAAAAACTGTTTTTTGGAAAAAATGATAAATCATCCAAATTTGAAAATTTATTTACATCTTTTAGTATAATTAGTTAGATATATATATATTGAAAAATTATATAAAACATTTATGTCTGTACTTTTTTTCTGTTGATAGAACAAAAAGTAGAAAGCAGAGTTAAAGATGAAACTGAGAATAAAATCGAAGGTTGTGCAGGTGAGTGGAAATATCCAAGAGAGTGTGAAGGTAGCAGTTGTGAATATGTTGCTAGGTGGTACTTCCATGATAAAAGTGATGAAATGTACTTCAGGATCAGCAGTACACATCCCGATAAATGGACGGGTATTGGTTTCTCCAAAGATATGAGAATGGTGAGTTAACTTTTTATTATTATATCTTTTTATTTAAAAAAAATGTTGAAAATAACATCTTAAGTGATGAAGGTAAAAATTTAGAGAAGTATTTGGTTATCAGAGCCACTAATTCGTTGTAGATGTATAAACAAGTAATTTAGCTGTGAAGATTATTAAATTTTACACATATATGTTTATTCAAAGTATCAGTTACTGCATGATGAAACTTTGGACTAAGAATATTTTAAGTTTTATGTCTGATGTAGTGGTCAGAACCTTAGGTTTAATTGTAATCAGACTTTTGGAAAACTGAGTAAATTTGTTTAATGTGAACTTACTTACATTTGTTTAAGGTTATATTAAACTTGTTTTAAATAAAAGGGCTATATGTATATAAAATAATTTTGCATATAATATTGATCTTCTTTAACTATCATTCAAACTTGTTTTTTTTTTTGTATGTGTGGATTTGAAGGAGAATTCAGATGCTGTTATTGGGTGGGTGAGCAGCAATGGAAAGGTTTCTGTGTTTGACTCGTACGTACTTTTTTCTTATATTGTTATATCAGTAGTGTTTCTTAATTAATAGCTCTAAAAACTTTTTTATGAAACTGCACCATCTTTTGCAGTAGATATTTAATATGTACACATAGTTTGCCAGTAACATTTGTTTACATATAAACTGATTATAAACTATCATCAAGTTTACGTGAAAAGTAATGAACTGTGGTTGCTGTAAAATATGTAAATGAGTTAGTTTTAATTAAAGAACATACACACTTCATTTTGTAACATATATTGGTGTGTTTACTTGAATGTATAAAACTTGACTAATTTTGTGATTTGATGAATTATGTTGTCATGTTATACTGAGAATCTATGAGAATTTTACAATATTGTTGCGTCAGAAGGTCACGTGACTATTGTCACGCCGCCTATTTTCTGGAAGTATCTTGTTCCTTCGTGAATGCCCTAGCATTTACTAGATATATGTTTTTTTCTGGTATATAGGACGCTCACAACGTGAGAATAATGTGTGTGTAGGTAGTGAGTAATTGAACTGCAGTCAGGAAATATTTATTGTTGAAGTTAACGTTCATTGTTAAAACGTTTGTAAAAGAGCGACTGTTGAAAATAAGTGTATCGGTAAAGTTATATTCAGAAAGAATAAACCAGTTTTATTAGGTAAGGACTTGTGTCGCTAAAGTTTCGTCGGAACGAAGTTACGGAAAATCAATTAACAAACGGAGACGTAACAATGTAAAAGACACAGGGCTTTACACCATACTTTTATGTACACATAAAATTAAGATAGTCCTAACATTAGCCATTTAATTATAGTTCATGAGGTATTTAGCAATTTTAACATAGAGCAATATAGAAATGACCAGTTATTGTAAAATTTGCAAAAAAAAGAGGGAAGTTCACAACAATATACTATTATGTACAATGGAAGATCGCTACCTACAATATACTATTATGTACAATGGAAGATCGCTACCTACAATATACTATTATGTACAATGGAAGATCGCTACCCACAATATACTATTATGTACAATGGAAGATCTCTACCTACAATATACCATTGTTACGTCTCCGTTTGTTAGTTAATTTTCCGTAAATTTCATTCCGACGAAACTTTAGCAACACAAGTCCTTTCTTAAATAAAACTGGTTTATTCTTTCTGAATACAACTTTGCAATACGCTTAATTTCTACAGTCGCGCTATAACAAACGCTATAATTCACAACGAACATCTCACGTGCTCAACTCAGCAATACTCTGTCCGCAGTTCAATTACACATTACATTACATTGTTGCCGTCACATCTTGACCGTCTTTTATATAAAAGAGAATATGATGTGTTACTAGCGTCACGTGACCTCCGCTGTCGTAACACTATTATGTACAATGCAAGATCTCTACCTACAATATACTATTATGTACAATGCAAGATCTCTACCTATAAGCTTTTCTTTCAATAAATTTTCTTTTTTGATACTTTAATTACAGTGAAGATTTGAAATAATCAGGGGACTGTTCTAAGGTGTAGATGGGTAAAATAAAAACGAAACACATTACAGTTCAGATGATATATATCCTTAAAACCACTTGTTCTAGAGGCACACTGAAAATCAAAACTTGTATTCAAAGAAAGTTTGTATGTGATACAGGGTATTTCAAAAACTCACAAAAGGTGTTCAATATACTTTTATCCATTCTCAATCAGTATATCAAGAGTGTTTCTAAATTAAAATACTGCAAGCTTCTTTTGTCATGGACAATGTTATTTTATTCTGACAGTACCCTGCAAACTGACACATATTTTATTCCAATCATGAATTTTGTATTGTGTAGCAAGAAAGAAAGAAGAATAAAAAAAGGCTGTGTTGAGAGAAAATTATTTTAGACACATAGTAAAATATATTTTGGGAACACTCTCTACCATGTCTGAACTTTCTTGAATAAAATTATTATTTTCACTGTTCCTGTGATGTAGTTTTTGTTCCCTTAAGATATGTAGTTTTTAAGATATAATTATTTTAAATTTGGAATTTTTCCTATATACATGTAGTTACCTTTATATGATACACTAACAAGATAAGTAAAATATGCAGAAACATTGTTAAACACTCCTGAATACATATTTGGTTATTGGTGAAATATTCTTCTAAACTAAGACCATTATTCAGTTATTTATTTTTAATGACCATCATGAAAGAACTGTTGTCAACCATAAACTATTGTATTTGTGTCTTTTTGTCAGATGGATAACAGGGTACAGCCATCCAGATTATGACTTGAAACAGAGTGTTTACAACGTTACTGGTGAGCTTCTAGATGGAACAATGACTCTTCAGTTTATCAGGAAACGAAACACTGGAGATGCTACTCAGGACCTATTGTTCTCTGATGGAGAGTGTGTTTATTTTATTTTTCCTGTCAGAGGTGGCCAGTACAACAATGCTTTTAAACAAGTAACTATTCATGAGACCACTCCCTCTATTTCACTTGTGTGTATTCAGAGCTGTCCACTCCCTGGTAAGCCCTAATGTATTTATTAAGACATAAAAAATTCTTATTGTATGATGCTAATCATTAGGCTAAATATAATTTGTTTATTTCTGATTCCAACTACCAAATTGAGTATAGATAGAGTATATTAGTCTAAATTATTTCTTAGGTCCTAGTCTTGCACATTATCAAAGCTAGTCGTGATATTTTTTCAGTTTCCTAAAATTTATAATATATGGTAACATTTTATAAAGCATATATAGAAGTGTTTATTCTTACACCTGAAATTAACCATTTGTAAGTTTTTTACAAAAATAAGTGCTAGTTTCAAATAGTTCAAGTTATCTTCTTCAGTAATCATATGAAATGCCACTGGTTTGAATAGATTTTTATTAATCACAGATGGATAGTATAAAATTAGTGATGATGCATAATTTCAGTGATTGTAAATCAAAACAAAGAAGTAGAAGCAGAACCCGCACCTGAACCTGTAAGTGATCAAGATATTACCTCTAAATCACAACCAAAGAGTGAAGATAAACCCAACAGTGAACCAGAACCCAGTAGTGAACCAGAGCCAGAACCTAATAAAGAAGATATGGTTCAATGTATGGGTGAGTGGAAGTATCCAGCGAACTGCGATGGTTATGGTTGTGACTACAGAGCAGTGTGGAAATATGTTGACAAATCTGATGAAATAGTCTTTACCATCAGTACAAAAAATCACAATAAGTGGACTGGAATTGCCTTTTCCAAGAATAGGGAAATGGTTTGTGTTTTTATACCTTTTTAATTTAGAATATTATTATTCATTAAAACACTGAAATATGTTATTATGGCTTGCATTAAATAACAAATAATTTAATATTTCATCCTAACCTGTTATAAGATACTTCTAAATGAAAAAGTAAAATAATGAATTAAGAAAATTATTTGTAAAACAATTTTACTGTTCAATAGCTAGTCATTTTTTATTGTTCCGTAGATAATCATATAGTATTGATCAGGGTTTTTGTAGGTGTTTTTGTTCATTTTATCTCTTTAAATGAAAGGACAGTTTTGGATATTGGAGTCTTTCTTGTTGTTTTTCTTTTCCTGTGTTACTAAATATTTTAACCATGCATTTATAAAAAAAAATTGAACCTTTTAATTAAATGCTGTAATTAAATAACTAAAGACGTGGCTACCATTATTATTTTCTTTATACACAGGAAGCAACAGATGCTATTTTGGGCTGGGTCGAGGAGAGTGGAAGATTTTTTATAATGGATACGTGAGTATTTGTTAACACTCTTATTTAAACCTAAGCATAAAAAACATTCTCTGATGTAAACAAGTGATCTTAAGGCCCCTGCCAACATAGTATATTCGTGAATGTTTGACATGATTATTCTGCTGCCTTGCACTTGATAAATCCAGCACTGTGTTTGTGTGCAAATTTTTTATCATTACATTTTATCTTTTAAGTTGCTTTTTATATCATCTTTAGTAGTGAACATCTGTGGTGTCAATTTATGTAGATGAGCATCCAATTTTTTATGAAAAATTACCTTTTACTGTTTGTTACATTAGGTGATCTTATTTCCTTTATATAATTCAGGATCTATCATTTTGTGATATTTATATAACATGACATGTTTCTCTGTCAGTTACTTGGTTTCTTCTACTGTTGATGTTGACATTTTGATTAACACAGACATTTGTCACTTTGCTTTTGATTTACCTTGAAAATAGCAGTTCACTGTAGCTGACAATGGTTTTAACATAACATTTTGTCCACATATAAAAATATAACATATGCATTGTTTTTTTATGTAAATCGTATTTCTTTACTTTATAATGCTTTTTAGTTTTGTCTATTTTTCGCTTATGATGAAGGCTCATGTACTTATCCACAAGAGACACCATTTTATGTTTTTTTACGTTTTTACAATGCATAGCCAGTAAATGAGTCTGAGGTATTTTGTGTTTGTTCACTAAACACAAAGTTAGGATTACTTTCCACTCTTTCTTCAATGGTGAAATATTTAGGCTTCAATCAGGCCTTTTAAATCAGGGATGTGGACATCAATCATCTTAAAAATCAATCAGCAGGTTATTGTCCATAAAATTTAGTAAGTAGAACCGTTCAATTGTTAACAAAACATTTATGAATTTTGACTCCTTCAGTGATTGAAATTTGAAAAGAAATTGACTGAATAAAATCTTTTTATGTTATTTTGGTTTCTAACTGTTGTTTTACACTTCAGTATTTTTTTCAAATTGCAGAAAACTTTTCTTGCACTTTCCGAAAATACCCACTAGTGTTTTCAAGTCTATATAGTTGAATATTTATCATAACGACATTCATAACATTCCCAAATCTAAATTTGAATTGATGCCTTTCCATCTCTGATATTCTGAAATCAGAATAGAATTAATCATAAGGCAACTGGCATCTCTTTTGTGATATAATCAATTTTTTACAATGACAAGCACTGTAAAGTGAAACATCCTTCAGCTTCAATAGCCAGTTGATAATTATTTTGCAGTCAACAAACCCTGTACAACAATTGTTCTCAACCATTTTTGGCTTGGAACTCATTTGTAAACATTGATGGCCATTCATTCATGACCCAATAAATAGCTTTATTGTGAAAAAACATCAAGATTGCTAAATATTTACTAAATAAATAAACTGTTATCTATTTTCAAAGTCTGTTTAAGACCATTTCACATATTCTGATGACCAGGGGTTGGGAAACACTGCTCTTGCACAAACTAGAATTTTCTCAATCTTTTGAGCATACAGTTTACAAAACTACTTATACTTAACATGTAATGGTAACAATCAGGAGACAATGCAATTGAAAATGTTTTCACCACTGAAATTATTTGTAGCATTTCATTGGTAGGAACTATATATCATATGACAGAGCTTGAAAATAGCTGCAGCCAGTAATTATGGATTTGCATAAGGCAAGGAAGCATAACATATCATTCCAAATACATTATTTTATTCAGTGAAACACATTGCTGTGGTGGTACTGATCAGGCTGAAAATTATCATTGTTGTTTTCTTTTATATTTATTAGACATATATCTCATATCATTATGTGTATATTTCATATCACAATACCAACCTGTTAGGCTTAAGGCTAGGTAGAATTTATGGAATCCAAATTGTAGGTTATCATGTCTCTATTTGCAAAGTAATTGATCTCAAATATCATAGATAAATGGATTAGTTTATAGTAGGGGACATAAAACAAATAATTATTCTGATTATTATCAACTGGTTAATTAGTATATAAATTGTCTATAAGTAAACATGTCCTGTATGGCCTGGTGAATATTTATCCTTGCCACTCCTTGTTTTTTCTGTGTCTTCTTGTGGTTTGCTAAAACAGACCTCTTTCTGTGTATTTTAAGCTCTTTTGAAAATTTTGTAAGTCTCTTTTCTTACTTCAACAAGTTGTGCAAGGGCATCCATTTTGGGACTTTGTACCTGTTGTTTATTGTTTATCCTGTTTCACCTGGTCGATATTTTATCTCATTTTGAAGATAACCTTTTTACCCATTGATCTATTTTTTAAGCCTATGTAGGATAGTTCTGTAATACTCTATATATATATATATATATAGTGAGAGTCTTCCTGGAAACACCACTGACTCAGTAAACCCAGATGATGACCGAGCAAAATGAAATCATAAAAATATGTTATGTAAAACTTGTTTATGTTAGGATCCTCTACTGGACTTTATATTTTTATGTTTTCACTGTTTTTCCAAAATTTCATGTTCATTGTTTTACAAAAAATTCAAAGAGAAATAATCTTAAATCAAAAGTGACTTATTTATTTATGAAGTAATTAGCAATGATGCTTTAAAACCAAATTTCTAAATTTGCCCTGCCTGAAGGGTCATATCCTAAGAATTCACTTAAATACTACTCATTAGGCCTAATCTTAAATCCTGCTGTGACTCAAGTAGCCTTAAGTGCTATGTGTTAACTTGTACCACTAATTACTTTTTACGAAAAATAAAATAAAAAACTTTATAAGGTTAGACCTTTACATTTTAGAAAACAGAGTTAAATCATAACTATATGCTTACCAAAGGCTTTCCAGACTTGCTATCCTCTAATTTTTTAACAGTTAGCTACCATCTTTTAAACCTAACTGTCCAAAGAAAACATGTTTTAAGCTTTTTAAACTGCAAACTAAAAGAGAGCAATCTAGAAAATCATTACTTTTAAAACCACTGTTTTCACCTTGTTATAAGTCATTACTGATAAAACATATATCTTGGTTCTAAACTTATCATGTACATAAGTATTCACCCTTGAAAAATAACAGTAATAATATGTACTGTTTTAGATTGAATAAAGTGCTCATATTGCTTAAAAAATGATACCCTTCAACAGAAGATTTTAAAATATGCATCAGTTAAATTCATTTTATTGTAATTGTTAGCCACTGTATTTACTCTCAATCAGTAGTATAAGTATGCCCCTGCAGCCCCCACAATTGTAGAGAAGAGGCTGAGCCAAAAGGGGAGCTCAAATCCGCTATAATCATAACTACATTTGTAGGAAAATAGATAAAGGGGACTCAATTACTTTTTATTCAAGGGGGCATCATTTGTAGTTATTGCTCTCAATTCACTAATATGAGAAAATTTTATCACAAAATTTCTAAATGTCAGTTTCTTACTCAAACTACAACAAAGCTCCTAACCATTGATGTATACATTTTATTTTTCACTATTCTTTTAACCATATGGACTACTATTTACAAATAGATACAGTTATTACTATAATGAAAATAACCATCATTTACCTTAGAAATATATTACAGTCAATAATAATGCTATTATTACTGCTTTACTAAAAGCTTGTGTATACTAAATATTAACAATATGTTTTAATGAAAATTAAAATCTTTATTTTTTGGTTAACTATTGCATTAACAAAAATCCATATATATATATATAGTGTATAAGAATACTATGCATTTTATACCCTATTTCCTTATTTTAAAATAATATATTTTGGAATTAGTTAGGTATAGTGGTATTTGCAGTTATCACATAACACACATTCAAGAAAGTTGTTAAGTTTGATTTTGTTTTAGCTGCCTTTGATCTTATTCTGTTGAGATCACATTTGTTCAACCCATGGAAGACATGGCAGTATTCTTGCACATTGTGCAAGAATGTAGACAGCAATGTCCTTTGATGGTAGGTCAGGTGGTCTCTCAACATTACAGCTTCCTTATACTTGAATGAGAATGGCCAGTCACGTGAGTAGTGCTGGTCGCTTTAGGTAAATCCATTGTTACCTGTGATATAAGGAACATTAACTTTAAATAGCTTGGTAGATGATCTTGGCTTAATCAGTTTGAGAGAATAGTTTTGATCCAACATAAATTTACAAAATGGGCTATCTGTGCTGTGCCCACCATGGATATTGAAACCCAGTTTTTAGTGTTATAAGCCTTCAGACTTACCACTGAGACAATGGGAGGCGTGATGTGAGAAATTGCCAAACATTTGTGATCCCAGTTAAAGAGAGAGAAAGATACAAGAATGATTTAGAATGTCTGAATGCATATCAACTTAAACACAGTTTTAGTATTTTTCCTTCTTACATATTTAATTTAGACATTTAAAAGATTAACTTTTTTTCCTGAAACCAGCTCAAGAATTATTCACACTTGGACAAAACTAGCCATTAAACACAATATTCCTGTCAATGTCAAATTCTCACAAAAACCTAGCCCTAAATTAAAATCGTTACTAAACAAAAATTATTTAGAATCACACAATACCAACGTCATTTATAAAATAACATGCAATAACTGTCCAGAATTCTACATTGGAGAAACAGGAAGAAAATTGGAAACCAGATTGACAGAACACAATAAAAACCGTCCCATGTTTTTCACCATTGCAACCCAAAAAACCATAGTATATCTATTAAAAACACAGTCAGTTTAAACAAAGAACCCAATATAAACACACGAAAAATCAAGGAATCCGTCTTAATTGAACAAACCAACACCCCGAGGTGCCAAGATACCTCTTCTAAGTTCTGCAACAGTATCCAGTCATGTGACCTCTTTGTTCAATACTGTATATATATATATATCCGTGTCAGTGTAAATTATTGTACCTGATGATGACAAAACCTTGTCGAAACGTTGTACATTTGCTGTTATGTCAAACGTATATTAAAGTTTTTCTTCATTACCCATTCAAGCCGTCTCCAACCATTACTCGTCATCGATTTTAACTTTTTTTGTTTTTGTTACTAATACTGTTTAAAAAAGGAATTTAAAAGGTTCTTATACAATACATTTGACTTACAATATTGCATATGGAATATCTTCAATATAATGATTTTAGTGTTTATAATTTTATTAGTGTAGAAGTAATCAAAATAATGATCATTTTAAAACTTAATGACTGGGAAAATCTAAGAAAATATTTTATTTGTGTTTCAGATGGCTAGCAGATTACAAACAACCATCACTGGATCCCAGTCAAAGCATCAGTAATGTGAGTGGGTGGCGAGAAGATGGAGTAACTACACTGAAGTTCAGTAGAAAGCGATATACTGGAGACCTAGATCGAGATCTTCATTTTACAGACAATGAGTGCTTATTTATGTTCTTTCCTGTTCATGGAGGTGTTTTTAATGCTGTTAACAAGAAGATAAGACAACATGAGTCAACCCCTAGGATCTCTGAGAAAAAAGTTTGCATCAAAAGTTGCAACTCAGAACGTAATTACCTTAAGTGTCATTCAGAAACAGTTAAAGGATGCTGCTTTTTTTCAGCAAAAAAAATAATGTGAATATTTAATTTTTGCAATACATCTAATAAAATTTGTCCAAATCACAACTTTTTGTATCAGTATGTTATAAATTTATAGTGAGAATGTTGGAATGTTGTTACTATAAGTACTGAGTATTCTAGAAAGCATCTTTTTGAAATCTGATATCATTATGAGACATTCAGTAAGATATTGAGCCAAAAAAATGACATTGTAAAATTAATAGATATTTCATACATACTTTTTTTCTCATTAAACTATTATTTTTAGTTTAATTAGAGTTATAATGTTTGTATAAAATAGAAATGTTTTGTCATAAACTGTATTTAACTTGCAATAGCTTAGTTTAAGAAATATTTTGCACATTTATAAAATGTTCATAATTTTTGTTTTTGACAGGTGATGAAGTAGCTGTTACAATTACAACTCCAAAGCCTACAACACTTCCAAAGCCTATATCTAAGTTACCAAAAATCAGAAGACCAGTTCTTCATTTTCCTGCCTTTAGAACTCCAAATACTCCCTTAAAGCAAACTACCACCCCAGCCACCAGTGCTGTTGCTAGTACAACAACAAGTACAATAACAACGGTATCAACTCAGCCTTCTACAACAGCAAAACCCACTTTACAGAAAATGAAATACACAGTAGAAGTTAAGCTTCCATTAAGCTGGAATTTAGAACTAAAGAAGAAAGATTCAACAGAATATCGTACTTTACAGAAGCAAATATTAGAAAATGTAAGTCAGATGTAAATTTCAACATTCTTGTTGTAAACAATTGAGTTAACCTAGTATTTTAAAAGTAGAATTTGCTCCATGGATAATGGGCAGTTACATGTAAGAGACAAATGCATTTTTTGTGAGATTTAATTAATTTGCTTTGTTTGTGGTTAGCTCAACCTAATTGCCAAAAAATTAGGTAATAGGTTTGTTAAGCACAAAGCTACACAATGGGCTATCTGTGCTCTGCCCACCACGGCTATCGAAACCCAGTTTCTAGAGTTGTAAGTCTGCAGACATACCACTGTGCCACTGAGGGGCTAGATAATAGGAATTAGCCATACAGAATTCAATCTTGTAGTTCTGTATACTTTTCATGCATGATAAATGGTCTAAATATTGTTATAACAATCCCATCACGATATTTGTGTAACACAATGTGGCATCTCAGATATGATTTGATAATTTTCGTCTTGAGGATTATGTTTTAAACTTCTGCATCAAAACCATTACTGAATGTTTTTGTGTTTTTTATTTGAAAGCACACAAAATATTATTTTAGGTAACTAATATATTATGATGTACAGATTATTGTTTATCAAATTATATATTTTTTTTCTCTAGATGAATGCAACTTTAACTTCAGTTGAAGGATTTGAAGGTGTAGAAGTAACTGAACTTGTCAAGTATGATTATGTTTAATATGTTTGTATTAATAATAATATATATTTTTGGTAATCATTATTTTTCAAAAAATAAATAATAGCATAGGTGGATCTAGTGGGCATCTGCCTCACCTTCAGGAAAAAATAAAATAAAAGGAATAAGTTATTGTGTCGATTCTGTTATCTTCAACATATCATTTTAGTCATACTCATATTTTGTTTACTCAGATCATATATGTATAATTAAATAAGAAAAGGGAATTCTTAATTTTAGGGTAATTTTAGTGCCACCTGAATCATAAGATTCATTTTCACAAATTATTTTTTTATAAGTTCTGAATTTTATTAATATATTGTCAGACATATGCTTGAATTGCTTTTGATATGCCACTAATAAAAGTTATATAAAATAAATTTGAAGGAAAGCAGTTTTGCATTTAATGTATCTATTATGACATAAATGTATACTTTGTTCTCTCCAGTGGTGAATATTGTAGTTGTTTTATTAAGAAAGGAATATGTTTGTTGAAAATAAAGATTAAAATTCCATTAAAAACATTAATCGAGTGCTCCCACATAGTATGTGCTGAATGTTCTAAAACTACTACTATAAGGGTGCCAGCAGAAAAAAAATTAGGGGAGTAACTCAAGTTTGAGAAAATCATAAAATCGAAATACAAATACCTTATGATTTTCCAATAACATAGAAAAATAATTTTACATATCTAGTAATTTTTTTTCTTTTTGAAAATCCAGGGGGGTCAAGCGACCCTCTTGCCCCTTCTTGCGGGCCCCCATGACTACTACTGTTATTTACAGCAAAATGAATGATTATTATATCCATAGCTTTTCACATAAAAAACAAAACTTTTTTTTCACTAAATTTGGCTTTTAACCATCTTTTGCTAAAATTTTTAATTTAGTTCTGAGCTTGTATTTTACTGCTTTTCAGAACCTCATTAGAATATTTTTATTTCTTCTGAAACAACTTACTTGCACACTTTCATATGATTACTGCCACTACTGAGCTATCACAGAGCTTAAAATCATTACTGTAAGTAACTGAAGCAACTAAAACCACTTATATAGATCCATATTAATTTGTAGACTTATTTTTTCTGATTAGGAATTTAAGTATCATTTTGATGCTTATTTTTACTTATCAGCTTAGCAGTAATTTTAGATATGACATAATAATGTTTTATTTTGTCTGCTTTCATTTTTTTATGAAATCTGAATGAAAAAAATAATATTAGCTAGTTACTTCAGTTTTTTTTAACCTGCTAAAGACATGTCTATACATATTTTGAAATATAGAAGGAAGTTTTTTTTTTCATAGAGCTAAAGGAGATCATGGTGTTATTGCACAAATGAATGTTATTATTATGGATAAACCTCTGCTAAAGGAAAGTCATCAAGTTGAAGATAATGATTACAGTGTTCATGTTATGAAAGAACTATCAATGAAGCTGAATGAAACAATAAAGAAAGGATATATTGGTTCACTTCAAGTTGATCCAGCATATCTTAAAATTCAGCCTGCTTCAAGAGGTGAGATATTTAATCTTAAGTTTTTCTTCTTTTTTTTTAAAGAAGAAGAGATGCATGTATGTGTGAGTATAGACTACAGAGGGTTGAGTATGTTATATTAAAACAATTTTTAATAAGCAAATCAGCAAATGATATGGCAACCATAACTGATATAAAGCAGAACGTATCAGAACTACATTTTGATGTTATCTGTTGTTTTGTTTGTAGTGTGATGCCACCAAGAATATCCTACTTTATGAAAAGGTATGTAACAACCCTTTATGGCACAAAACATTCATACACACAGATCATAAAGATGTGTTCAGATTAGGGATTAAAAATTTCCAAGAAGTGGATTTCCCTCGTACTTAATAGCATTGGAATACAAGGAATATACATAAACTCGAGTACTAGAACAGCCCAGAAAGAGACCTGCAGCAAATTGTACCCCAGTTATGATAGGCAAAGTGTGACAGATGAGAATTCACATGGTATTGGACATCAAAGTAATACAGATCTACTTGGGGTACCAGGACCATCTAGAAAGAGACCCAACAAGTCGAACTGCAACCATGTGTGAAAATCTGCAAACACAAAAGCCATCCACACGTCTGAAAAAGGATGTCTGTCTGTAAAAGTGACACAAGTCACATGTAAAAGCTTTGCTTTCATGATATATTCAAGAAGGGAAGACCAATGGTAGAAAACTGTATGAATGATACTTAACCATACCAAAATGGCAGTACGTTGTGGCAGTCAATGAGATTTATATGTACCATGGTTACTGTAACAAGTCTTGTGTCATTTTCTACTGGTCAATCGGTGAAGTAAATTTAAGAAAGTAGCACACAGCATTTCAAGAAAAGTTTCTGAAGGGATTCAAGATAATCACTGGATACTTCACCAGAAGTAAGTCAGGGATCAACAGAGTGGCTACAAAGGTTTAGGTGAACTTTGCTTACTATCAGACCAATGTTCTAGACCCTTTATGTTACACTGCAATACCAGCTTTGTATAAAAATGAGGCCAACATATAGGAGTTCTGACATTTTTTTTCTTCTAAATTTAAATCAATAATTTTTAAAAACTGCGTAGAATCTTTTTTTAATCAACAAAAGAGGGCAAATTTGGTGACATTTTTTTCTCTATAACCAAGAAAGAATAAGCATTTGGTTTGAATTTGTGTTTTATTCACAAAAAATAAAAATAAATGCTTAAATACAAATAAAGTATAGCTGACTACTCTTTCAGTCTGAAAAATGATTTGGTTTTGCCAATAGTTTGCTATGTTTTTACTTAAAAAGACATTCTTAAACACCAAGTGTTTCAGATGACTACTTTCTCAGTTTCAAAATAATTACAAGTAACTTACAAAAGTGTATTGGTCTTTTTTGCCACCAGTTTGTATTGTCTTTAAAAAACATTCTTAAACATCAACCAAATATTTTAAGATGGGCACTCTCTCAGAAAATGTTTAAGTACAACTAATTAAAAGCTTTCAGAGAAAAAATTCTGGTTTTACTACCAGTTGTGTTGTCTTTTGGTTGGTTAGTAAAAGAAGGCATAAAAAACAGTTTACTACAATAATTTGATCACCGTTATCATATATCATCATATGATGCTTAAGTATATTTTTTGACATTTTACTGCAGTCTGGCATTTGAATGTAGTGCATTTTACTGAAGGAATGTTCTACTGCTGTTCTTTCAACCATAATGCAGAGTAGAATTAACGCTGCTGTTGAAAGAGCTGGGTGTCTGATTGTGTCACCCTTCCAAATTCTCACTGTTGTGAGTTCTGGTTGTCTGAAGAGAGTTCTGCTAGGTATTGACTGAATCCTGAGTGCAGAGCTTCAGTTATTACATCTTCCACAAGGGAAAAACCTTTCCTTGTATTTGTCACTACTCTGAATTGATACCAGGAAAGGATCAAACACTCTTGTTTGCATCCATAGCTTCTTTACAGTGGTAGACACATTCATTTCAGTTGTTCATTTCCATTTTTCACTCAGGGATACAGAGAATACATTATTGGATTGCCTCACATAAGCAGCATCTTTAGATAACAACATTCCTAAAATTACATTGCACTTTTCTTTTGTACAACCTCTGTGCTCTGTTCTTGACAAATGGAAAATTATACTTCCATAATGTAGTACATTTCGTGTATATCTCTCTTTCTCCAACTCTTTCTGTAAATTTAAAACCACTTCAAGCTTTTCTTTCAGAAACACAAGCTTGGTGTAGAGCATTTGTTACTCTTGGTGAGTGAAAATTATTTCTTTAATGTAGGATGTCTTTCTGTTCAGGGCAATCTCCCTCTTTAAGTGAGCAGTCAGGCTAGCCTGCATGGGTACAACAATGTGTAGACTCTCAAAGAAACTGAATCATCTAGTAGGAAAAATAGCTGGAGTTTCATTACATTTTCAATTCCAACTTTAGCACACTCTTCATTGCACAGTTGTTCTAATTTGTAGGAATATTTAAACACGACAACAAATTTGATAACCACTTTTCTAACATTTGACATCACAGAGCAACTAAAGACAGCTTCAAAAGAAACATGAATTAAATGCACCATATCTTTGACTTGCAGGAGTTTATTGATATGTATGTCATTCACCATCTTTTGCATGTACTGTGCAGAGTCAGATACAATAGTAATAACTTTAAAGCAATTCTTTTCATATTGCTGTAATGATTTTGCAAAAGCCAAAGCAATGCTGACACTGTTTGAAACAGCAACATTAGAAACATCTGATGCAATTTTACGATTCCCTTTTACAATGGTATAATATGACATCGGCTTTCCAAGTACATCTGAGGACTCATTAACAATCAGACATACTTTTTTACCTCTTACTTGCTCTTTTATTACTGTCTCAAGTTTCAAAAGACTTTAGGCAGGTATTTTTCTTACAAAGTAGCATACTTTGGCATTGTTCTAGTTGCTGAGCATTTCTTCATAAACTCTCCAACTCAAAACAGCTTTGGAAAGTGCTTCAAGAAATGACAGAATTTCACTCTGACCTTCTGCCTCGTTTTTTCCTCTGCCTGAGCTGTATTTCCATTAAAATTGGTTGCACTATTGTAGGACTCCTTAATTTTTCAGTTTCTTGTTTTAGAGAAATATGATGTGCATTACAAAGGTACTTATTTATCCTGCTATATTGTTTGTCTGTCACATGATATTTTTAATGCACAGATTTAGGCCCAGTTCCACTGTCTCCACATAAGACCTTGAAATCAGGATATCCTTTTACCCATCAACAGGTACTTTGCATTTTCTGCCCATTATTGAAGAATTGAACTTACTATTATTAAAAAAATTATTGTTCAGAAATCAAATGAAATATACTTTGTTAATGGCAACTGACCCTTTACCTACTGCACTACTACACCGAACCATTGTCTACATACATTTTCTTTCATTTTCTCTAGTCTCTCAAATGTACTTGTGTTTTTTCTCAATCTTCTGCTGTTGTTTCTTATCTCTCATTTCTCTGTTTCAATTCCATTAGTATTATTTTGTAGTGGAGTTGCAGATATTAACTTCATTACAAAACATATGGAAAAAACCATACGTTCTGATATGCCATTTTACAAGGAGAAAAAATTGACTGTAGCATCTATACTGGGGAGTAAACTTACCCTCATCACTTCCATCTCTTTACTGTTGCATTCACAGAAAAATGTGCAAGCATTTATTCATGTACAGTCTTCTGCATATCTGGGTCTAACTGAAAGTCAGAAAAAAACATTCAAGGGAGGAGGGGGTAATTGGGTAAAATCTTAAAAATCAGAATCTCTACCAGCAGGATACGAGTTCAATAAGATATGGCTTCCAGTCGTACTTCCTATTCAACTGTCACATACCTTGAGTAACTGAGGAAAGAAACAGATATTCATGCTGTTTAAGACACCAGATGCATCACCAGTACATTTCTGTTCAATCGGACTGTGGAAATTAGTGCTGGAAATCCATTGTTTTTGTACACAAAATGGATTATGGAATGGTGTGCTTTTGACACGACAGCCTTATGATGAAGCCTTTTGCGATATAAACTAAGCTTCAGGGCTACTGCCAAGATGCATGGTCATCAACATGGACTCTAACCATGTGGTGAGGCTCCAATCCAAAATGATTTTAATACAACTTACTCAACCCTGGAATGTTTTGGTTAGATACTTTCCTAGGTAGCTTTATTTACAACCTTTTTCCATGATTAGAAAAATATAAAAGTTTAGATCTTTCTAAGTACAAAAAATACTTAAGATTATCTCTAACTAAAATTGTGACTGAAGAGTGGTGCACTAAAACACGGGGTCCACTTTTTATATTATGAAAAATATAAAAATTAAGAATAAGATTATAGGATAAAAAAGGTTGAAGATTTTTTTTTTCTCTCCATCTGTCTGTACATGATTCTTTATCATCTAAGTAGATTCCCTCACAAAATAACGTTAATTATAAACTGAATAAACTTTAAAAGAAAGACAATACCATGCAACAAAATTTATAGTCTTAACTTCATCAACTATTTGATAGAACTTCAGTTACACTCTTATTATAATTAATTCCCAAACAATGTTTTTTTTTTTCAAGTATGTGCTTATTGACAAAAAGAGTTTTATGTCTTCAAGCAATTGAATAATATGAATGTCACATTAATTTGCATACATCCTAATAAAAAACAAAGCAACGGTAATGGATTTTATTGATGCCGAGTAAGAAAAAATGAAACTTGTGCAAAGTGTGTATATGTTTTGATGCCAAATACTGAAGTTATTTGTAGGTGAAGTTTGGTATTTTGAGAACTGGATCATAAACTAATTTTAGTTTTCATATTTCAGATCTGTTGATTTAACTCATTGATGGGCAAATTGCACATCAACATTTTACGGAACATTGTCATTGTATGTTAATATACATGTTAGCAGAGCAAACTGTATAATCTCATGTACATTTAAAATAACAGTAGTAATAATTACTTATCTTTCAGTTCAAGAGTCAGATCCCAGTGAAGTTCCATTTGGACGAGGTATAGTATCTTTTTTTCTAATGTTATTTTTTATATTAAGTACAAAATATAACTATAACTTTGATCCTTAATATTATTGATGTTTCTACTACTATATATTATATTCTTAATATCTGCTATCAAGTGATAACAGTTACTAGCTGCTTGAGTATGTTTCTGTAACAACATTTTATAATTCAGTTAAAATTCATTAACCTCAATCATTTACATTTTTTACTACAAACAGCATGTATACTGTGTGTATGTTTATATAAACTGAATAAGTATTGAAACTTAACCATAACATACAATTTATGTAAAAGGCTACATATAAATAACAATTGATATGGAAAAAGAAATATCTCTTCACCAGCAACAACAAATTCAGACTCTTCAGGTGATAGTAACACCAAAGTTTACATCATCATAGGAGGTATTGCAGCCCTTGTTCTTCTAGTTGCCATTCAAGCCAGCTGTATGATATATAGAGATAGAAGAAATCGCCAAACTTCCCATGTGAAGGTTTGCATTTCAGATTTTTTGATACATTTGCTTTGCTAGCTTGATTTATAATATTCTTTACTCATACATTGGTATCAAACCCATGTGATCTAACCCTTTCTATCAGATGTAATTCATAATGATCAGGAGATTCATTAGGAAAGGACTAATTATTATTAGAGCTTGATTAAAAAAAGGTAAATTACTCCTCACTGCTGATTATCCTTTGGGAAAGTAAAATTATCTAGCAAGTAAAATAGAGTAAAATCCCTGTAGGCTAGATTACATAAAACACAATAAAAGAACAGTCAGTAATGAATAACTAAAACTATTATGATATAAGTTCTTTTAGAAATTATTTATCAAATGAATATTCACAGAACTCAACAAGGAAGCTCAACCAAGATTCAGTAACTAAAGGAAAAATAGAAAAGTCATGCACGTGGAGCTATTTTAGATGCTATTCATTAACCTAAAATATACATTAACACTTTATTATTAGTAAAAATGTGATCAAAAGTAAGTGATTTAATGAAACCTGGAGAAGAATTAAACTAAAGTTAGTCAAAATTCAAGCTATATTGTGTAGAGTTAATGTTAATGATAGTAGGTGCCGATCTCCAAGTAAATATTATATGGTAAGAAGACCTTGGTATATCCTTATTGCTAGAAGATTACTGAGACTGTACACAATTTATGCAATGGATTGGTCAAGGCAGTAAATAATAATGTGTTTATAATTAGGAAAATAGTTTTGTAGCAGAAAAAGAAAAATCAATAATTCGGTAGTCTGAGGATCAATAATTATAAATATTTTATGTATTGGAACAATTGAAAAATGTGATTATTAGAAGATGAAAATATAGGTTTGTAAGAAGATTTACAACTTGTATATTTGAAAATGTGCACTATCATGTGAATGATGCAAGTAAAACTGTTAATTTACAAAAAAAATTACTCTAAGAAATATTCCTAGTAGATTTTGTTGTTATAACTCCTTTTTTTTGCCAATTTTTCTAGGAAAAACTGATCAATTCTCACTGGAAGGACTATGCTACAGCCAGCAGTAATTACAGCTATGAAAACTTTGGAATGCAGGAGGAAGATGGTAAGGTCAGCAAACATCCTGTTGGATCTGTATCTAATGGAAGTGCTGTTTCAAAGAAGAGTGCAGTATCCCATCCTAGTGCCAATGGTAAAAGCAATGGTCGCTCTGGAAATTTCCGGCCTCTTCCACCAGCTGGACAAAGTCACACTTTAGAGCGAATGTCATCTCGTCATAGTGATGGATTCTCTAACATGTCTGGGTACTCCAATGCCTATGCCACTCATGATAGATCACTGAGATCTGCTTCAAGTACATTGAGGGCTCAACAAGAGCTGCAACCAGACTTTTATTTCATGCCACATCAGCGACGATACTCAGGAGAAGTTGTACGGGTTTTTGTTGATTATAATAATCCAGAGTATACTGGGAAGTGAAAAAATTTACATGTGCCGAACTTTATTTAACAATGATTTTTTTATATTTTCTATACCATTTAAATACCTTAACCCATTTATACCATCTAGAAAATAAAGTAGTGACTGGGAAGAATCTCCTCTAGACTCAATCAAGTGTTTAACTACCATTGCTATTATTTTGCATCTCACCTGTTCTGTTACTGTAAAGCACTCAAGAGTTATTTCCCAATCGAATGTATAACAGATTGGTTACCCACATGTAAAATGTACTTGTATATAGTCATGGCTTTATAACCAGCTACAAAGCTGTAAGGCTTAATACAAATACAAAACAGACATTATATTTTTTGTGAGAATCTCTACTTCAAGATTATGAGTATAGTTAATCCTTGTCTCTGTTCATATTTTATTACAATAGAGTAAATTCGTAATAAATAGTTCTGTATATTATAATGTAAAAACTTGGTCTGAGTTGCATAGGATAATATCCTTTGAATTTCAAATAGTTGGGACTCAACACTGTAACTGGAGATTAATTTTTTATGTCTATAGACATTATATACATATATATAAACAGCATATATAAATAGTTTACTTTCAAAATATAATTATTATTTTCATGAAATAACTCACACTAGAAGTCTTAGAATAGCTGTGGGATAATAAGAAATATTCTAAGGTCAAATAATATATACATTTCTGTTCACTACCAAAACGGAATAAAATTTAGGCTAAAATATCATTATAAGGTTACTTTCATAACACTTTGCATTAAAAAATATATTATACTTTTTCCAAACACTTAAAAAAAATTCCCACACTGAATACTTATAATTACTAGGGTAAGCTCTGGAAATAAAGGTGCGTAGGACTTGTATCTTGTATATTTATGCTAACAATACACTAGTCTGTATGTACATACTCAAAATAATTTTTACTAGCAAGTGTTGTGACAAATGACGAAGCAAGAACAATTCCACAAACAACCTGGAATCTTCCAACCAATAAGCCACTGCATAAAAGCCTTTTAGTGTCGATTTTTTTTTTCATACTAGTTGTAATTAAAAACCATGACTAACATATTTACAAAAGGGATGATAATTTAAAGGGTAATTATATTTTTTGGAGGAGGTTTCATATCTGTGATAGTACAATATACTTTTTGCTGTAGAGATTTATGAGATGGTTTGTTTAAAATTACTCAAAGTACTATATCATGTAAAATATACATCATAATCTAGGTGATGAAATATTTAAAACAATTTTGGATCCTTTTGTGAAATTATTGTTCATTTACATTACTCTGTTGCTTTTAGGAATGACAAAAGCTGACGAGTGTTTGAAACTTTATACTTTGAGACTTTCAATCTGTTTTTATGTTCATGTTATATTAGCTGATGCATTTTTGTATGTGAAAAAATAAAATGTAAGCACAAATGTCACTGGCATTGTTGTATCAAATTCAAAGCAGCCAACTCTATATCCAGGTGTATATTTAATCAGTTTAGTATGATATGTCTGACAAAAAATTGAGTATAATAGTATGTACTTTTAAGGATTTTTTTATTTAAGGTAATTTTATTGCAAAAAGCCTAAGTATCTGTGGCTACTACCCTTATGAGCAGTTATTGAGAAGGATGTTCGCAAGCTAGTGTTATAAAAAGAAGTATTACAATGAGGATAATGTTATGACATTTGAACAACAGCATGAAAGGTAGTAATATCCATAACTGCTGCCTGAAAAATGGAGTAAATGAACTATAGCTATCTAGATGAGGCAGTCGTTTTAAGCACTTAGAAATATTTTTCATTACACCCATGAGTACAAGTGCTTTATTTTTGTACAACTTGTAATCAGCTGGAGTGTGTGTATATATATAAATATATATTTTTTCATACAAGTAATATGAGTTTCGAGATTAATAAACTAGATCATCATAAAGCTATAATTGCTTATTTGATGAATTTGTTAGCTTCTCTGAGATGGTTTTGCTGTCTTTGCATAATTTTGCCACTTATATACTTCAAGGGTCATTTAGTAAGTCATCCTTACTTGGAACAATACTTTTCAATTTTGTTTTCATTATTATGTAATAGATTAAACCTATTTGTAGATATTGTTTTAGCTTGATAAAGAGATTGTTGTTACTGACAGTAAAAAAACAAAACCACCAAAACTGAATACTTTCTCTTGTATGGTGTATCAAAGTTGTTTCTATTTGTGATATCAAAATAAAAGCATCAACTTGCCAATTATATTCAAATTCAGAATTTGGTTGAATATATAATAAGTATTCAGTGTTCATAAATTGCCATTTTGTGTTATAGTTCAGTAATATATTGCTGGGGATTGGTTAAATTTTGTTGTTCAAGTAGGGTATTCATGCGAGTTGTTTCCCATCATTTTATGTTTTGATATTCATTTAGCTGTTGATCAAATTTCAGTTGCCATATTGGAAAAAATATATTCTGTCTCTTGAAAGAAATAAAGATAAGACATAAAAGTGAATGCATAACTTGGAACAACTTGACCTTCCTTATTTCTGGACAGTGGAATCTTATGGTTTATTTTAAAACTAGTAAAGAGAGAACTCATCTTTAATTGAGACAAAATTTATGGCTAAATATAATGGAATTTTAAATCATATGTTTTTCCAAAACTGTTGTACAGTGCTTGGCATAAATTTCAAATATTTTTGGCTTCTTGACTTCATGAAGAATTACTTGACTATAGGGAAATATTTTTGGCTTCTTGACGTCATGAAGAATTACTTGACTATAGGGAAATATTTTTGGCTTCTTGACTTCATGAAGAATTACTTGACTATAGGGAAATATTTTTGGCTTCTTGACTTCATGAAGAATTACTTAACTATAGGGAAATGTTTTTGGCTTCTTGACTTCATGAAGAATTACTTGACTATAGGGAAATATTTTTGGCTTCTTGACTTCATGAAGAATTACTTGACTATAGGGAAATGTTTTTGGCTTCTTGACGTCATGAAGAATTACTTGACTATAGGGAAATGTTTTTGGCTTCTTGACTTCATGAAGAATTACTTGACTATAGGAAAATATTTTGGACTTCTTGAAGAATTACTTGACTGTAGGGAAATGTTTTTGCAGTAAACAATGGTGGTGACAAATGTACAATTTAGACTTGCTCCTCTTTTCCTTTTTTGCTGTCCCTTCTTGAAGTTGTTCCACTATAACAATACTTGCATTTGGTCAGTTTTTAAATCCAACCTATCTGGACATGATGTTTACCTCTTTTTGTGGTTACCACTAACCCAAGATTGCGAGGATGTTTTAATTAAGATGTAGGCAGTACAGTAAGGTTTTAATTCTACAGTTAGCAAACTTATAGCCCTGTTTATCAGTAAAACCAGTACAGAAGTCGTTTTTTATTGTTAGGGATGAATAATGGTTTGTTCTAAAATTTTGTTCCTTGTGTGATACTGTTGGATAAAGATTAAAATATATACATTTATTATGCATAATAAGAGCATTAACACGAACACTGGATATAGCATTGCCTGACTGATTAATAATTTCAGAATATTTTCAGGCATTGTTAATTGTTAAGATGAAGAGGAATGGCACTGTACTTGAAAATACCTGTTGTTCCTCATGAGGCACAATAACATTTTAATCTCTAAAAGAGGGTTGAAAATCATCTTGGTTAAATTTTAAATTGACTTTCAGTTCAAATATTATCATATAATAGACATCATGATAAAAGTATGTTATGAAAGTGTGTATTTATAGGCAAGTTGAAGGATAGTTGTAAATTTACTTGGCAAAGTACATGTGAATCTAATTATGTTAACTTGGCATTAGTCCCATGAGATGAATTATGAAATTTAGTTTATTAGTAAAGAAACATCATAAGCTTGCATTATTATACTCCAACTCAAAATCATTCCTCTTCCTTTAATCTTACTTTCATTTATCACACCGTTTTATTAAACAAGGATGAATGCTAGTTAATTAGTAATTAATTAATAACTCTAATCTTACTGTCTGGATTTTTAATTATTTTATCACTCCTTTTTATTATAAGATTAATATTTTTTGGTTTAGATCTGTATGAACTGAGACCCTCAAGCCACACTTTTATAAGCCATTTATTATTAGTGTTCCAGTCAGGAGTTCTTGAGTTTAGATGAGACCATTGATTTTAATGGATTAGTTAATTTCTTATAGCTGTGTATGCAATAGAGTATTAAAGACAAAATTCAATTATCAGCTCTTTAGCCAGTATATTGTTATCTTGTAATACTTCTGTATTTACAAGGTTTAGCAATTAGATGTGCGTGTACACATTCCATAACTGCTGAACAAATGTGTACCAAAAATTTTAACACATGTAGGGGGCATTTATGAAATATGCAGTGCAACAACTTGAAAATAATTCTATCTTTGATGCACAGTAGGGTGATGACCAAAAAGAAGTTAAACCAAATAGTTTAGATTTCTTTAAACTCTCAATATTTTCCTGCCTACAGGAATGGAAAAAAAAATGAAGCAACTTCAGTACAATGTCAAATACATATGAAAAATATACATTCTTATGTAGAATTTTCAAACCTGTAGGTTGAAACATCATATACTATACAATACGGATACATGGCGATAGTGTATCAGTTAAATTAGTTTTAATCAAATCTTTGGGTATTTCATAAATGGGAAATGAACTAACTTTTCATCACTAACATGTTTGTTAATATACTCTGCTCCTCAAATATTTGAGTATAGGTTATGAGGTGTAATACTTATTTAAAAAAAGCTATATGAGAATCAGGTTGATGAGAAACTGACAATATTATATTTGAAAAGTAGAATTACAAACGTATGGTTGAAATTAATAGTTAAAAGCAGCTCAAAACTGTTAGTCACAAAGATTTTAAGGAATATTTTTAAAACAGTGAAATTGTTAGTAAACTGGAAACAGGAAGTGAGAGAAACAATTGTCAAGTTAAGATCAATTCTTTAAAATAAAAACAGTTTTACATAACTATATATATATTTTAAAATAATTACTTCCATCAGCTACTTCAACAAGTTCATTTTGTTATTCAACAAAGAAATAGCATTATTACAAAACCAAGTTGTATGTAATTAACAACATTGTTGCTCAAAGATAACTTTAAAGGTTCTACCTATTATTTCAAATGTACCTTAATGTCAAATAAAGTCTACCTTCAAGTGTGTATGTGATATTCAATGTTCATTTGATATACCACACAAATCTAACTAAAGGTATAATTTGTTTTAAAATACTTTGTTAAATAAACAACAGTAAATAATCACTATAGTTTAAAAACATAATTTTTTAGAAAATCTAACGTATGAAAATGGATTAAATTTTTATTTCCTTTCTTACTACTGGGTTTCTCCGAGGCATGTAACATTCCAAATAACAGCACAACAGTGAAAAGGTAACTAATTTCACAATACAGAATATTTAAAACTTGTTTATTACTATGAAAATTCATCAGTTTTTCTAACCACATAATAGTAAGAGGTGAACGTTTTTTTTATTAAGTATAGTACTTTGACACTATTTTCAAAATATATGACCAAACATTTTATTTTATATAAATCTTTATGCCAATTTTCTCAGAAAAGCCTGGTGAAATGATTTTCCAACCACTGGTACAAAGCTATACTTTTTACTTCTTCAGAAAAACTTTGTGTTTCATTTATAAAGCTAAAAATCTATTTCAGCATTTCACTGAAAAATGGGAAATGGGGTTTTACAAATCATTTACGATAGTGTGTAGGTCCTACCACTATTCTTTAACTGCTGAAGTGAGAAATGACATAGATGCAATGTAACCCAGTATCACAGCAGGTTATAAAATCAGGTACTAGTGGGTTTAAACCCCACCTAGTCCATTACCACTTCTTTAAAAAACCAGTAACTTTCCTAAGATCTATGAAAGAAGTTGAGTCACTAGAGCACTACCTGTTTTTTTTTACTCCTTAAAAGACTGACTAAATTTTTTTATTTCTCAAAACATTTTATTTCAGGATATGTTAATGATGTAGCTCTATTTGAATGTGTTATCATTACTACATAGTTTAGTAGATTAACATCATCACGTTTTACATATAAAAACAAAAGCCCTACTACAAACAATCAAAACTATTACCATTTTTGTAGTATATAATGCCTTATTCTGGCAAAAGCATCAATGATCTACTAACCAGTAGATTTTATCAGTCTTACTGAGATGTAATGTCTCACAAAATACCACTGTTTTTCTTTTAAATTCAACCCATTTTTTACTATGTAACTTTACACATTGTAAGACTGCATCTTACTTTGGTAAAAGATTAAGCAGGAAAACAGAGTAACACTCATTTTGAAAATTTTATTCACCATTGTTGAAGAAAGAGAGCCAGATTACAGAACTGTGCATTCTGTATAGTAACATAGAAATAAACCTTCAGAGATAAAACAAAAAAGCAACTTACAGAATTTTTATATGCTAACATGATAATTAAGTTAAGAGGCATGACTGACATGAATCTAAACGTAAATAATGATCACAGTACAACAATATTTCTGGTGTCAATGCCAGAAGTAAACCTGCACTTATATTTATTTTCACTGCTTGTGAAAAGAAAAAGAAACCAAAACATAACAAAATAGCTCCTAGCAACAACATAAGATTTTTAATGTTTACATTTTTTGAAAGAGTTTGTCAAAAATGGGATGAAAATTTTGGTCCATGATATTTTACACTGAAGAAATACCTAATCACCAAATGCACATTACTCAGATAATCAGCGAATACTCGTAAACAAATTCAAGGCTGACTTGGCTTCCTGAAAGATAAACAAAAATATACTGAAATTCCCTTTATAAAGAAATCAGTAAAATATTTTACAAAAGTTTAAAATAAAAAACACTGTCTCTCTAGCATGCATTTACTCCCCAAAATATCTTGTGAACAAAAAATCATCAACATTTACTAATCCCACACTAAAGTGTTTGAAAAAAATTTTTTTTTTAATCCAGATCATGGTAAATGTTGATGAATAAGGTAAGTTTAAAAGAGGGAAAAACTAAATTTAGTCAAACTGTTGATTCTACTAAGCTTCATATTATTGTTCCTACGTGTATATGTATAACATAGAGAAAGAAGACAAGGCAGCACCAGGCCTCTCTTGAAGTATTCTCTGCCTTAATTCCATTTAACTTCATTATTAGCCTTTCCTTGATTATTTTGTTACAAGGAATACATTAATCTGGCTTGTTAAAAAAATAGCATTCTTTTAAGACTGTTATTAGTTCATATTTTGAGTGTTTATAAAAATCATTATATCCATTTTAAAGATTTAACAATAACTTATCAGAAGGGGGGTTATGTAGTATGTAGGAATTAAAACATAATTATATGAGAATTACTAAATGCTACTGTGTGAATGACATAATTTATCACATAAATTCTCAAGTTAAGATTTTAATTATGTCTTGAGAATATCAGCTAGAGAAGAAAAGAGGTGTTTGTCGGAGCAGGAAAATGCCATGTTATTTTTCCATAATTATAAATAATATGTATTTATTGATACATATTTAGGCAACTTTCATAATTTTTGTGGAAGTTTTCTGCATTTACTAAACTAGATCTGAAAGTTCATAAATGTGCACTTAGGCAAAGGGTACATACCCATTTGATAACCACAAAAGAGCATAAACTTGCTTCGTGCTGTTTCTGTATTATCACACCCCTATAAAGTATGTTATACACATGTTGAGAGGTGGTATAGAGATTTGTAGAAGTTACTATGATTTGGATATTAACTTCCCTTGAACAAGTATAATGGAAACAGTTACTGATGTAGGTAGTCTAGGATCATGGGATACCATACTACCACTTCTGCAGAGTGATGCAATCATTTCTATACTTTTCGAGCTTCAACATTATTCAGTTGTATGAAGCAGGCGAGTGACATTTACTACTGAATAAAAGTTATCATTTATCTTTCTTTCACATACACTTAATTAACTCTTTGCTGCATTTGTTTTATTCTTTTACAAAACACTCCCTGAATCTGCCACTTACTGCTGATCTTTAAACTTGCCAGTTATACATCACTAAACCTGAATAACACAGAACAATTTAAGTAGCATTTTGGAAGCTAGCTTGGGATTTGTTTTTGCAGTATTTTTTTAATATGCTTCTTTGTTCTATCAGGCTCTTGTTACTGTATATTTTGCAAACCCTGATGGTCAAAAGGGACTTTATGAGGCCACGGACAACTTGATAGTGAGATGAAACTGTGGCTTGAGTTAGGACATGATTTGACTATGAAGGGCCCTCTCCTAAACAAATTTTTGCCTGCCATGGAAAGATACATGTCTGTATACTCAACCAGTCCTTCAGGCCAAAAACAGGATTCATACACATCTAGAAAAGTGCTTGAAAAATGATTTCCAATACTAATGTTTTGTGAGTCAGTGAAAACTATTTTTTCCCTTAAATGTCTTTCATTACAAGTTTTAAATATCCATACCTTTTCTACACCAATTTAAGATACAAATTAAAAAAAAAAAGCGATGAAGAGTATAATAAGGTAAAGGAAAACATTTTTGACTCTTGTCAATTGATACATATAAACCAACCTATAAGTTATACTTAAATGTGGAGTCATTTTTTTTTGTAATGTGTTTTGAAACATTTTTTCTCATGCAAACATCAAAAGAATAAATTTTACACAGTTGAAAATTAGATATATACCAACATTGATAATGTAGATCCATTACCAACCAATATTTGACCATATTGGTAATACTAGATAATGGAAAATTCATCTGCTCAAGTATTAATAAAACTGATTCTTAAAAAACGAGGGAGTTTAGATAATGTGCACTGCACCATTCCTTAGAAACATGTAGTCAAAGTAAATATTGTAAAAATGCAAATCTCACAATCACACTAGTTGTAAATTAAAATTACATAGTTTAAATGTCATTGTTTTAAATTATTATATATATAAATATATATATACATCAGTTTGTGAGGTTTTGCACAAGGTACTCTAAAAAACTATTTATTACAGTCCTAATTAAGCAGATCCTTATTAAAGTCAAATCTATACTGAATATTTTTGTTTACATTTTGGTTTTTACTATTCATAATCAGTAGTAGTGAGAATGTGAAATGGGGAAATGTGTGTGAGCAGTGATATTGATGATAAAAGGCTGCATGTGTTAGGGTACAGTCAAATAAATAAAAACTGCAGAGAATTGGTGCAAAAATGGATAAGTGTCATTCCAAACAGTAGTAACTTGTAAATCCACAGTATAAAATATACATCATGGAATATTTATCAAACAAATATCACGCTAGATTTATAGTTTCTGATCAATATTTTGACATAGCCAATATGGGTGAGGCTGCACTGTCCAGCCAAATGTATATGGACAGTGTGTGTACCTTGTGTTTGTCATATTATGAGTTGGAAAGGGTTGATTAAGATTCTTATCCTGAGCTTCAAAACTTAAAAACACATTACATCTACCACTGAAACTCAAATTATTCAATTCCAATGGAGGATTAAAGACTGGCACAAATGATGATTTTAAGTTTTCACAATAAAGAACTTTAATACAACTGAAAATAAAATGTTTTCCTAACTGTAAAACAAAATTCCATGAATGTACTTCTGTCCTTCTCATTCATTTATTTCTAAATATCAAAATTAATCAGTTAAATTTAAATTTTCCTCACTCAACTATCCCCACAAGGTGCCACCAGTTCAAGTACTTCCTAATGTCAGACCTTTGGCATTATTTCCTGACAAGACTTAGTTTGTAAAACTTGCACTAACCTATATATACGTCTGGTGGAATAGAACACCTCTCTTTTTGCAGAGAAGATTCAAATGTATACTTTAAATTGTCATGATGTTATGAAGCCTTTTAACATATATTTAGCTTAATTATAATTAATGTTTCAGTTACAAATTTGAAATGATTTCCCTAAAACTTTTTGATAAGATTTTTCACATGCCATATTTATCAATCAAAGAAATTTCAGTTGTATTTTTCAGTTCTAACCAATAATTTGAAAAATGCTATATATTTCACACACTGCAACATGTACAGATATAATACATATATTCAGGATACTATCACAGTACATAAATTAAATACTAAATACCTCACTATCCTGAAGTGAATGTTTCATAGTTATTAAACGTTTCTGAAGCTCTATTTCAAAAAACAATATATCTGGTTGAGGTTATATGCTAATTCAGCCTTAGATGTTACTTTCTGTAGCAGGACTCAGTCAAAGAAGCTATCTATTGTTTCAAAGGGATAGTTGTATGTGTCCTACAAGTTAAATACAGTTTTATTGATTCATTCTTTTCACCTACATTCATCTTAGGTGAAAAAAGACAAATATGTCCCTTAACTCTCTCAATATGGGCTTGGTCAATTTGACTGATCATGTGACTTCTTTGTACTTGATTAAAGTCTTTATATATTTAATACTTTTAACTTTCAATATAGTGTATATCTTCACAAAATTTGGTAGTCTTTCAATTCACATACAAAAAATCATATTTTTTGGTGAAGTATTTTTAATAACATAAAATAAAGATTTGTCCATGAATATATTGAGTATTTGTTTTGAATAGTCCATGTGCAAAGTAATTTTTTGTTTAATTTAAAAATACTTTTTCTCATCTCAAAAATCTCAAATTTCCTTTGCGTAATCCCTAAAACCTCCTGAATACATTTCAAACGTTTTTACAGTAAAACATTATAGTTTATCTGTTATTTTCTCTATCCTCTCTCAAAAATGGGATTGGTCAGTTCCACCTACTTTGTATCCACCAAAAAAAAAATTTAAATAAACCTAAATTAGCCTTTTTTTCTTTCTAGAATGAGTTCAAATTGTAACATGAAACTACATTCGTTTATCCTAAATAGCT